CTCCTCGTCCTCCTCCTCCTCCTCCTCCTCCTCCTCCTCCTCCTCCTCCTCCTCCTCCTTCTCCTCCTCCTACTCCTCCTCCTTCCTCCTTCTACTCCTCCTCCTTCCTCCTTCCTCCTCCTACTCCTACTCCTACTCCTACTACTACTACTACTACTCTCGTTCCCATCCTCCTCTCTTCCTTCAACTCCTTCCCTTCTCTCCTGTCTTCCCTCGTATCATAATCTTCCGTATCACGCCTTCAATCTCGCTTGCCCCTCCTCTGCCCTCGATCACCTTCTTCTAGCCAGCTTGCAATGGCTTCGTCCATCCTCCTTGTCTTCCTTGCCATCGTTTCGCCATTTCTTGCATCTGGTGCGAACAGCCTTGGACGTTGCGGACTTCTCAGCTGTGAGCGATTGGAGCTGAGAGGAGGAGCAGGAGCAGGAAGAGCAGGAGCAGGAGCAGGAGGGAGGAGGATAGAAGAAGCAGACGTGCAAGCTGCTCTAGAGCGATGCTTCACGACGTTGAATCAGCATCCAGTGCAGCGAAATGAGAGCAGCGGACGAGGAGCAGGAGCAGGAGCAGGAGCAGGAGCAGGAGCAGGAGCAGGAGCAGGAGCAGGAGCAGGAGCAGGAGCAGGAGCAGGAGCAGGAGCAGGAGCAGGAAGCAGGTACAGCAGAATACAGCAGAAATCAACGATCAACGCTTCTTTCGTGGAGGAGTCGATTGGCAGGTGCGAGGAGATTCTTGGCATGAGTTTGAATTCTTCTAATATTGGTGAGTGCGGAGGAGTTTGTGGGAAGAGGCAGGACGATGGTAATGAGGAGGAGGAGGGAGGAGGATCATGATGGGATGAAGAAGAACGGAAACAAGCAGGAAATTGACGATGACGACAACAACAAGAACGATGATGATGATGATGATGATGATGATGATGATGATGATGATGATGGTGGTGGTGGTGAGGACGAGGACGAGGACGAGGACGAGGACGAGGAGGACGTCCATGCTGACTTCACATGGTAACGATGATGATGTTGCAGATGAATCGCTGGATAT